CAGCATTAGTAGCCAGAGCCAACACAATAAATTGGACAAAAGAATTGCCATCAGTTCTATTCGGACTACGCTCAAGTTATCGACAAGATACTGGTTGCTGCGCCGCCGAACTGGTATATGGCACTACTATCAAGTTACCGGCAAATTTTTTCTATGATGAGCCGAAAATCACGTATGCTGACTTCATAAAAGATATTAAAAATAATATTAGCCGAGTTGCAGCCATCCCACAGAGAGAGAGTACAAATAAAAACATTTTTGTACATCCTCGTTTAATGGATTGCTCACACGTCTTCCTGAGATGTGACAGATTACGTCCAACGTTGACACCACCATACGAAGGACCATTTTTGGTTGTCAAACGCAAAGGAAAAGTATTCACAATCAAGCGTGACGAAAAAGAAACAAATGTGTCAATAGATAGACTCAAGCCAGCATTCATAATAAACAACGAAGCAATTGCTGGCGAGGCAGAAACAGGACACCGCTCGTCAACAGCTGACAGCCGACCTTTGAAAGTGACACGTTATGGACGCACATCTTATCCTACAGTGAGATTTAATTTGTAAAAAAAAAAAAAAAAAAAAAAAAAATTATTAATTTATATTGTTCATAATTAACTTTTATAATTTTTTTGTGTGTAATATATATTTTTTTTTTCTCTCAAGGGGGGAATATCTATGGGACACAGTCACCTAGATACATCAAAATAATAATTGCATTTAATAATGTCTAGTAAGACAAATTCAATATTGTCTACTAGGCACTGCTGTATCTAAACTGTGTCACCCCACCTTACATTTTCCTACTTTTATTTAGTATATAAGATCATTATTTCTATGTACACATTGTCAGTTTATCATCATATGTAATATACATCGTCTCGACCAGCAACATCGTATTATTCACCCGCAACAAATCTCATACATTATATACTGGCGAATTATCATGCTCTTATTTTTGAATCAGTTTGAGATGCAAAAACAAACATAATGAGTCGATACATAAAGAAAGATAGGAGGAACTGCAACTGATAATTACTATATAGCTAGTTTAAAACATATTAAATGAGTATATTATGTTTATTTATTGTTTCAGATGCCTGATGAAGAACAGATAACACATAAACTATTCCGACCTTCAACTTCAAATACGTAAGTGTAAAAAATAATATACGCTCATACTTGTCTTTCCTTATCCACAATCAAACTGATACTAACAAATAATATTAACATAGATAAATAATAGTGCCTTATATAGGTATTTCACAAGAGTTTTCTCTGCAAGTATTTTTTTTATGTTTTTTATTAAAAATTGATGGAGACTTCGTGCTACAAAAATTACCCGTAGTAATAATTATTAACCATATTATTGTTACATTTATTTTTGCATTTGACTAAATATATTCATTTATTAGTACTTACAATACCTAATATTGTTGGCAAATAGCAATTGCCGTATTTTACGTTGCGGTCATGGGTACATGCGATTCACAGCAAACTATTATGAATCACCATTTAATAATGAACAAAATAATATTCGAAGGCAACATTGTTAATTAAGAATTTTATTTAAGAATTTAAGAGTTACATCCATTCTTGCATACAGTTTTAGTTTTATTTCTTACATATTTTACGTAAATTGAATGGCAAAGCCTTACGGGGCCCACCTGATGGTAAGTAATAAACGTCGTATAAATACATGAACAGCTCCACGGACATCCACCGTTCTGTCCAAGGTACTACCATGCGTGATGCCACAGATATAACGCTCGTAATACATGCGTTGCTATTCTGGAGGACTACAATGTCAAGTCTACGTGGTCTATAATTCACTGCATTATCTTTCTCTTTCAGCCGAAACACATCTTACAAAGCATGCGGCTTGGCAGTTGAAATAGACATAACCACTGTTATGCCTATTTCACCTGTGCAGATGACTTTGTAAAAATTCTACCTAGGTACAAAAATACTTATTACTCGTTTTTACCCGCGATCTCAGCTATATGACCGGGACATTAAATGACCAACTTAAAACTAGCATATATCCTGTGTACCAAATAGAAAATATAGTCCAACTTCCATGACAATTGGTTAAATTCTTAAGCGTACAGAAGTAATAATCGAACAAACATACTTTTATAGTTTAAAAGATATTACAGCTACTCAATAAAGAACAAAGATATTTTTTTGTATAATTTGAATACGTTACGTCTAATCGTATGACAACAAAGTCTTCAAAACACAATCACTGGCACGTTGTATGAGAGAGCCCGCGGCAGCAATTACGGTATAACCATAAACCCGGCTACGATTGTCGCGTGCCATATTTATTTATGTATTTATGTAACGTGCATAAATATGTGCCGGGGTGAGCGTGATCCTCGACTCGCGGTAATTATTGCGTGACTTATTGCCGAAGCAAGATAACACGTACGCCACCACCAGCATACTTAGACCTCCCAAATTCATACTATTACTGCAATTATAACCAAAATGTTTAAATACGTAAGGGGAAGGACAGGTCTCAATATTGTGGCGATGACATATTCAGCGCACCGAGGGTCGTAGTAGCTTTATCTCCGCGCTTCACTGTTGATCGTGACTTTCCGACTGAAATTTCGATAATTACACTGATTATGGGAATGAATCATATTTTGGCAGTTTTTTATTGTGGGTATAGGGTAAAAACTAAGGAGTCAATAAAAATTAAGCTGGCTAAAAATACCTATTCAATGTAATAATACGTTAATGGATATATTACCTATATGCTATTTCTGTAGTAGAGTTGCCTGTGAAATGAAATCATGTGAAAATACAAACTTAAGTAAACACATAGAAGATTACATTATTATAAAAAAGCTTTTAGTTAATTCCATAGTACCCGCTACGAGTTGGGCTACGCAACGTAGCTGAGTAACAGCAACTGGATGGAATACGTAGAAATATTACCAAATATGTGTATATATCTTGAGTTTTAAAAATGTATTTCAAGCATTTCATTATTTCTTAAGACACCATTACTTAAACTTTTTAGGTACATCTTCATTGAAAAGTTATTTATAAATAAGTACGATAGTAACTAACACCTCTATTCGACTAATTGAGACAATGGTACTAACCCGAACAATGTACCTGACTGTTTTTATCAGAAGACTCGTGTTTGGGCTGTAAACTTGTTAAATAATTACAAAATAATGCGCTCAAAACTTATTCGCAGTAACAATGTTCAGTAACACAAAGTAAATGAAGATACTTAACCTTGTTGCGAAGTTTGATCCAATAAAACAAAGTTTCGAACAAACGAATGCATTAAAGTCACCCGCAAACTGATCCAATCGTAATATCGCACTCCCAGACATCGAAAGTTAGTATGCATTGACTTTGAAAAGTTGTCCAAAACTAAGTTGGGTTATGTTTATGAAACTATTCAGATGCGGGTGTGTGCCGCCGATACACATGCAAGAACTCGCGCTCAACTCCAGCCATAGTTCGCTAAGTGGAACAGCTGTAAAACAAAGTAGCGAAGGGTCTAGGAACTTAGTGTGTACGTTGGCAACTATTCGGCGTGAGATGGCGCGAGGCGCTCGAACACATGTCCTCCGTTGGGTAACACGCGGTAGGCGCGGCTCGCCTCGCAGTCACCGGCCGCCGCGCCGCGTCGCATCGCAACTTTGACAGTTTAATTCGGAGCCGCAGCCGCCGACCGTCGACCGGCGTCGATTTATAAATAAGTTTAACTAGGTTTTAACTAAAGTATTGTGGCAGGGTGATAACGAAGCCGGCGCCTACGCGGCCCCCCGCAGCGCGCCCCACCGCGCCCGCTACCAGATAAACTTTTAAAATGACTTTGGAAGCTTTTGAGCTTTTAATCGGTAAAGTTGTACAGACAGACAGTTCGGGCACAATCCTTGAACCGCTTGCGCCGGCGACGGCGGCCGCAAAACTTTGTTTTACAGGACTACTTTTCTTCTTGTTTCAAGGTTGGACTCTTAAAACAAACTCCAGTTCGACGGAGTTCGCGAACTCGGGCGCCAACAATTTACAAATTTCTCTCTTTCATAACAACTAACTGCCGCTCGGCGCGCCGGCGAAAGTTGTCCTGCGTAGATCTTAATCGCATTGTCTGTTGCGCTCGCGGCGCGAACAGCTGATTATGACGACACAGTTTATCGAACTCCGGATTTAATTCATACACAAACCGTTACACCGTTTATCTTTGAATAATACATATCGAAATATTCAAATATAGTGCTATACTAAAAATGTACATTATATATAAAAGAAAAGCTTATATCTGTGTATTTTTATGAAAATTAATAGCGTCCGATGGCGACAGTGTCCGCAGATACATCAGGCGCCCTTCAACTCGTTTATTCAATTCGCTTAAGTGACATAGATAGCCATCGGCTGCGGCCAAAAAAACTCGTCTGCCAAATTTGACGGCGCGCCCCCAGCGACCGGCGGCGACTTCTTTTTTTCAGTTCACGCTTCACCTGCCCGAGGCCAGAACTGGCCTTCCGGAAAATTCACAGATTGGCGTCTAATAAACACTTCTCTTTTTGCTATTATAAACATTTAAATGCTCTTTGTTATATAGCCATCAAAGTTTTAGATTTTTACTAATTGTGAATATCAAGAGTATATCAGAGCGGTACCTACAGTTAATCCATCCATGCCCATATTCGACTCGTACAAGCAGTGAGGAGAATTGGTTTTAGTCGTAAACAAACAGCACATTTTTTGCCTATGTAATATAACACATAGCACCATTATGTACGGCAAAGTGATGGTAACATAAGCTAAATGCAGTATCGGGAATTGCGCGTAAATTTTACGTAACTAGAAATAAATAGGTTGCGGGTGTGTGGGGCGGGGCGGCGTGGGCGGCGGCGTGCGCGCGCACCGCCCCCCGCGCGGGCCCGCGCCCCGCTGGCTCCACGAAGCTGGCCTGCCCGCAACCTCCGTGTAGTCCGCGAATCGCGCCCCGCGAGCCACCCGTACCGCGGCGCTCGCTCCGCACTCACCGCCGCGCCTGCATCGCCTCGTCGACAAACTTTTCCGACGTAGCGCTACGCCGTGCTACGACACCGCGTGACGTTCGTAACGCACTAATATACAGTGCTTCTCTCTGTGCTGTGAAACCCTTTATTTCTAAATAGTGAAGTCGTGTTAAAAAATTAAACTTTAGTGCGCGATGTGGAGACGACACATTTTGTAGCGATGTCGGCCCTAGTCCGACCTGTTTGGTAAGTCACTCGACATATTTTCGAGATCTATTCCGATCCCGTCAACTGTTAATTTTTTTACTCGTCAGAAACAAATAATTGGATGTGTAATCGTTAGTGATAGCGTTTAAAATGCGGCCGTTTATTTCAGCGACGAACTTTCTACGTGTAAAAAAACTGAAGAAGTGTCAAGACAAAAATTAAATCAGTTAACCGTTTACGCACAAATCCCACGCTCGTAAAACCATTTCACGAAATGCTTTCAAATTAAATCTTGTTGATATTCGCAATTAAATATACCTAACCATCATTGATGTTTATGCAATTTGCGTTTATGGAATGCTAAGTGACTAGGGTGTGTGTATTTGGTATTCTGACAGTTGTTAATACATGCCGTGTTCAGCGTATCTGCAGTAATTTAATCAAGCTGATCAACTGTACCGGCGTATCACCAAATATTTATTGAACCTGCGTTAGTGAAAATAAATCTAAAACGGGATTCGTAACATAATAATACATTTTTAATTTTCATCTAGTTACCATTTAATAAAATATTATTTTTATATTCCTGGCTTTTATTATCTTGGATAATAAATTACGATATCTATATCATAGAAATAAAAATAGGTAATAAGTTATTTCTGCTACATATTTTGAAAGAAATAAAAGATTTAATACATACGAACTGATAACTAAAAAGTTACATACATATAAAACCTATATTAAATTAAATATATATACGATCTAAACAGATATATAAAACTACAGAGGATATTACAAAAGCGATTAACGTCAGCTGAACGCAGTGGCCTTACGGACAGTCAGTTTTAGATCGTGATGTGACGAATATTAGTTATACTGAATTATTCTTCATTCTTATCTTAAGATACACGAATTCAACAATATGTAAAATAATTACATGTTATAACTTTCTAAAGTAACAATTAAAACATAATGCTATAATTTTTGTTTGAATTGTTTGCTGAAATTAATATAAACTTAAAAGTTTAATAACTAATTTATTGCCACTGATATGCTATAAAGACTATGCATTGCGGTATACACACGAAAATTAGTAATTTATTTATTAAGCTAATTCCTATACATAATACGTAATAATTAACTCATAAAGAAACATCTAAAACCACACTGAGCACGGTGTCAGTTCTTGGTTGTATAAATAAACTCCATTCGGAAGTCCATTTCCCTACTTGATGGATATATATTATTTTGTTAAATTCCGCTACAAACAAAATAATATAAATCCATCAGGCATCAGGTAGGGACTGGACTTCCGCAAAATAACACCTAATTTGATTAAATAAATATATACTCTTAAACCAGAAATATGTAAATTTTAACTCATTATTAAAATATTATAATTAAATCGTCCTATTCTGTCCTCAGATGAAATTAGGATTATTATTATATCATAGGTACTATAACAATCTGATAATTTGCTTTCATAGCTCACCTGCCTCTATATTATTGACCGTCCATTGTTACATAAAACTTTTACAAGCACTGTTCGAAAATAGACAAACTATTGGTACGTTATGAGTTTTTAGTAGTGATCACTACTAAAGACTGATTTGAAATACTAACTACCGCTTTGCGCCAACTTCAAACTTCGTTCCAAAATTTCTCTTTCAGTCGGAAAAGAAATACACATTAACGCTTCATGTGACGTGACATTTTGATGTTAAATTATTACCTGATACAAATCACTTTACCTTCACAATATTGTACTTTTTTACATTATTTAATATACATTAAACAATATAAAATAGTACAATATTTTCTCTGAATTAAACATAGTTACTATATGGTGCATACTATTATATTAAAGATTGTGCTCACAAGTAGAAAGAATCATATATACAGATAATAGTGACTGAATGAATAAACATGTCGAGAATATAATTACTTATATGTTTTTAATATTGTAAACAACAACAACATTAAAAATATTTAGAATTTGTCCTGCTCAATCGCCCAGTACCCAACCCTAAGCTGTTAATACTCACCGCAAAAATCTATTGTTTATTTGCTGATGCGGTTTTCATGCCGCTTTCTTCTGAAGGGAGCTTAGGTAAAAATGTAAGAAATTTCTTTCATATAGATAAAGCAAGTATCCAAGCCTGAACGCCAGAACTTATACATGATAGGATGAACTAAATATGACCATTAGCTCACTTGATAGAATTTTATTTATAGAATAAATATAAACGATCTCGTAGGTATATCCAAATCTTCCACAAGGTTAGTAAATGTTAAATTTATTAAATGCTTATTGATTATAACCAGTGATTAACTTCGGAATTTACAAGGTATTAACGATCTTTTTTTTTCTGTGTTTGATAAACCTCGACATTTCAAGTAAATATGAAAAACCTAATTTAGAGAATTATTTGTATTAGAGACTTCATGTAATACATTAGTAAGACTCGGATCTACCCAAGCAAGTAAACTCTATCACTCAGTATTAGTAAATTAGACTCTAAAATAAATTGTTTTAACATACTATACAGTTCGCCGCTCGAGTCGCACGGGTCGTGTACAGCACTCGAGTACACCTGTTTGCGTAAACATTTAATTCGTCTATTTAGTACGATTTCACGTGTAACGCCTCAAAGGCACGGTCGGGCACGCCGGGCGGGCCCATCAGATAGCGGCTTCAAATTGTTTCCACGCCGCCGCAACACATATCTGATGGGACTCGTGTTTAATTGTGCTTTATTTTGTATTCGTGTACAGTACGATTGTTTCGAATAAATAGAATCCTCAAATTGTATCTATCTTACGTTTATGACTGTGAGAGTTTTTAAGTTGTTTTAACGTTTGATTCTCGATGAAGGATGAACGGATTTGAACGTTTAGTACAGACTGCTTGACGCTGAATTAACACGTAGCATACTTTATATCGTAATTGACAAAGAATAATCGCGGTTTACGATTATTTTAAAATAAATTATATTGTATTAAGTATTGCTTATTACGTTTATGTTTATTTTAGTATGCATACTAATATAAATATAAATAATATAACTTATAAAATTGTCAATATCCTCTTGTGTGATTATAATGATAATTAATATTAATTACACCTAATTTTTTTCTAGAAATAATAAAGATTTTATTACACTGAATAACGATGATATAACGATCTTGTCAGAATTTTAGTCGGGTCTATATGTATTTCATATTTAGTTTAAAATATGAGTAAATGTTCGTTTTTATCAAAAGCTTAGCTTTTATCGGTAGGGAAATAAATATTAATAGTACAAATAATTTGCGGCTAAAATGACCTACGTGAACAAACAATTAATTATTGATTTGATCAATATAGGAATAGAATACATAATAGATGATATATCCAGCATCATTATAAAAACATAGCCATTAATTACACACTGTAGGTTCTTAGTAGGTAAAATAATACAAATAAAAATTCGCCTGCCAACGCAGAAAATCTAAAACGTGTTTCTTGAGTAGTAAATATCAGAGGTACAAAGTGCTTATAGAAGAGGACATGTCTGTACGAGGGTCCGATACTATACACGATAACCCTCACCCCAGAGACTCCGGAGTCCCCAGGTTATGGACAGGCTTTAGGGCAGTTTATGAACAAGGAAATCAAGCAACAAAATGTCAATACACAATAAAACTTTAAAATATTTATTTATTTTATTTATTTATTTATTAAAACTTTAATGCTCAAATAGACAAATATAAGATGCATATTATGGACTTAACACCTTGAGGTTTTTTATAGGTATCTTATATTACAAGAATAAACATTACAACAATTTTTTATAGTAAATGTTACATGATATTTTGGTATTCTAATTTGAATGATATTCTTATGTGTCATCCGAAACTAATTAATATCAGATAATAGATCATAATTAACTTTTTTTAAATCTTAATTTATTATTATTTTCCATATTCCACGGATTTGTATTATAAATAATACGTAATAATGATTTATAATTCATTACATATAAAGATGTACCGAATTTTCTATAAGAAATGAAATACTGATTAAAATTGAACAATTAAAATCAAAATCCTATCCAAATTGATGACAAGTATAGTTATATCGTCAATATCGTCGAATTGAGATTGTTTTTCTTGTAAACAGAATCGACTAGTCGATCGACACCAAATTTTCTAATTACCCCATTCAGATTTGGAAGTATCCAACAATATTTTAATTTAATTAGCTTATTATTAATAGTTCTATTATAAATAATTTATATGGAGCATGTTTTATTAGAATTAACGATTTTTTTATTACAAAATGTCCATTTATATTTCCTTTGTAAACATGTTAAAAACGATAGTTATAATATTCCTGAACTACACTTAAATATTTTACTCAGTACTAAAGAAAGTGTATGTTGAATTTAATAACAAAATAGGGTGAACGTGTCCACATGCACAAGGGTCGGATACACCGAGCGATAACCCTCACCCCGTGCGAGTCCTACGATTAGGGCTGTCACTATGCAAGTTTTACTCAAAATTCTTTTGTATAACTTATAATTTTTTTTTGTATAATCGAGTGAAAATAGGTATTACAGCGGCATAATCTCCTAGTACTCCGGAATAGTATGAGTGGTATGGTGGTCACGTCATCATGATGCCCGTAGCATTACGATGACGTGATATTCGCGGTGCTTATGTATTATATATTATGTGTTAATTTTATATTAAATGATTACGTCTGCGGTGTTGATTTAATGAATCAAAAATCTCTAAAAATGTATAACGTTGTGTATAAACCTATAATAATAATAATAATGATCTCAGGACAATTCCCACAGCGGCATCTAGACCCAAGTTAAGCTAGCTAAAGTTTATGTTATGGGTACTAGATGACTGATACAAATACATGGATTTTTTTTAATAAATACAGACATTATATATAGAAAACACCCAGATCAATACAAACAAACATACTTATGAAATGTTTGTGTTGTGCGAGAAATCGAACTCGCGGTCTTCGGAAGAAAGGC